TGTTAAGTTCAAACAAATCCCTTATTCGAATTTGAAAATCTATATTGTCAGAAATAGTGCAAATGATCCTGTTCTCAATTTCGACCTCATCAAAATTCACGCCCTCCTTATGGAAAGATAGCTTTATATGACGGCAACTCTGTGAGTAGCAGCACCTCCCCAGGATTCGCTTAGGTTTCAGAAATGTTCAGGCGAGCTATTCTTCTAAGAGCGACATACCATACCTTGGAGAGTCAAACACTGGTAATAATATGGAGACATGCTACTACCTCTACCCCGCCGCCTTTATTCGCCTGCGATTTTGTTAATCATTTAACAATCATTTAACATTTAACAATCATGTAGGAACAGAAATGCAAAAACTTGAGCGCCTCCGGGAATCGAACCAGCATGATGTGACTTCGAAGCGAGAACCTTACCACTGAACCACCGCGACTCGATTTGCTGTAAGCAATTCCTCGATTATCCTTCGCAGCTCCCACCGAGCCTCCACCCGACTACACCATTACAAACTTTACCTGCTCATAACTTCCTTGTGGAATGCACGTTGCAGTTTTGCTATCTATATTTGTTAATAACCTTATAGACTCTATCGATCCACCCAGGTCTCCATTCAAAGTTCCATGGTAAGTTGGCGGCCTTCCCTGGTAAATCCTTATTCGCTTAAGTTTATTGTCTAGAAAAAAATCAATTTGATAATATCATAATGCAATTAAATGGCAACTGAAAGCGAAATATTTAATGATACCTAATCTTGGAGTAAAAAATAACAACTTACCTCTCAAATTCTGGAGCCTGGCGAGCAGAATAGTAGCTGAATTAGAAGAAAAAATGGCTGCGATCAGCTGATTGCGCGGTGCAGCCGGCTATTGCGGGCAGAGCCAGAGAAGAAGAGAACGCAGAGAGGCGCGGTTTCGCGGAGAGGGGGCGCAGAGAGCAAAAGACCTCGGTGATTGCTGCCCCATGCAGTAGCAGCCGCCACCCCGGGATGCATATCGTTGGGCGCGGTCGTTTGCCACTGGGGCGCGTCGGCCGCAATGGCCACCCGCTAGTGCGGCGCGTTCCGTGGACGGAAAACTCGTCCAAGGCACTCCACTTCTCGATTGACATAACTGACCGGCCTACATTGGCAAGATGCCAGCCTAGACGCCGTATTGCGAACAATAAGCATAACTAACGATTTTTATCCTCGTTCGAACTGTTTTTTCGTCCTTTTGTTGAGTTCCTGTGTATTTCTGCTGCTGTATGCTCCTACACCTTTATTCTTCGCACTCAGGGTACAGCATAGGGATAGGCGAAATGTCGGTGTGAGTACGACCCCCCCCTCCGAATGGGGTCCACGCCACGACCCCCCCCCTTTTTTTCCCCGTTGGTACGACCCCCCCTCAGCTCGACCGGCTCTTTCGCCGACTGACGAGCGATGAGTATATAGTGCGGCGCAGAATATAGTCTAGTAGGCACACAAAAAGTCGTCGAGCGGAGGGGGGTACAATATAACTATGCAACGTATATCCGGCGGGTGTACAGGGTGCATATAACACAAAAAATTAATACGAATTAATACGACCCCCTTTTTCCACAAGAAAAAATCAACTATCAAAATAAATTTGTCTTACCCCAAATACGACCCCCTCCCCAGAGCAAAAGTACGACCCCCCATGTGTTTCACACAACGATGCTGTACCCTGTTCGCACTGCATATTAAAGTATTCAAGCTACCGAGCCCAAAACGTGTGCAACAAGAAGAAAAACAGCTGAATAATAGCACAACAGTGTTCGAGCAGGCCGCTCTTCTGCAATTGGGCGTCTGTGTAGGCGTCCTCTGGTGATAGATCAGTCAAATCACAAGGCAGAGCTGAGACGGACGAGTTGTCCGTTCACGAAACGCGCCGCAGGCGGGTGGCAACCACGCCTAGCTGCGCCCCAATGGCAAACCAGCCGCGCCGAACGATCGGTTCCCGCACCCCGTAGCCAGATGTTAGCCTTCGTCATGTACTTTCTGAAATCTCTGAACTTTTTCAGGAACCGAATTACCTATCTTCGTGGAAATCACCGCCCAACACAAGTTGAGGATAAGTCTTCTACAGAAGATAGCTGCTCGCACGTACTCCAAATAGATAAGTATGCCACGCGGGTTTGACCACTTGAGAAGACTACCTCAAACTTGGGTAATTAAACTTTATCTAATATACTAAAGTAAATAACTTATAAATATATACATCTATTGTAAACATTACAAGCGATATGAGAACTGAAATAGGAGGCTATGAATAAGGGAATGAATACGCATAGTAAGAGCAATTCGAGAGCGAGGAGGCACAATTGAAGAAGGCTTAAGAGAATTCATCATGTTCATACAGCTACGATAATCAGGTCCATCAAAGGAGAAGCCATTGAATGTAAAGAGAGTTCGAACTAGAACAACTACGACTTAGGAATAATGATGAGGCCGGAATATTGAGAAGGAGATATTGAGCACCGTGGAGTGGAAGAGTATTCGGAAGACTGTTGAAGACTTGACCAGCCGTCTGACTTCCCAGCTGGGCCATCTGCTGCTTAAATAGTACGCCGTTTTTGCCCGTCGCTCTGCTAACGCCTTCTTACTGGCATTCCTTCAATTGCTCATCGATTCGCTATAAATCAAGTTACAATGACTCATGGAGAGATAATGAGAAATCACTAAGAGAATAAGCTTAGAGATACAATTCAAACTAATGTAACTTCCCTGAATCTGGAGGACGACTTTGTCGTCACAAGTAGACCTCCCGCGCTTATATAGGGTGTCTCCTCCATTTGGTCGGTCAGCCCTATGTTAACATTACTGCACTGTTCCTCCATCTCGGGATAATCTGGAACCGAGCATGGTTTTTTCAGTGACATTACTAACTTTCGGGCACGCCCTGCCCACTGTGCGTGGACTACCCTGGATCACGGTGCTATTCACATTTTGTCCCATGCCCTACCCATCCCCACCATGACCCGACCCCTCTGGGTTCTTCTTCAGGTTTTATGAACACACACACACACACACACACACATCGTATAACACACACACCACAGACACACAGAACATAGCTTGGCCCTGAAGAACGAATTGGAGAGGTCGGGTTAAGGTGTGGATGAGTAGGACATGGGACAGGAAGTAAGGAAGGCGGGAAGTAAGTAAGTTCTAGTGAAATGCGTTTTTTCTTCTCGTAGATTTCTTTTCGAAACTCTATCTAAGGCGCACAGATTACGGGCCATGGAACCTTATGAGGGCATCTTTATACGCAAATCGATGTCCACAGATGAGCGTAAAAAGGACCGCGACCTACGGATCAATGCGCGTGAGTTGAACTTGAAAGAATTCAAAGGTGAGCGTGTTTATGTCGTATACAGAGGAGAAATCGTGAAAGTTTCCGACATTCCCTCACTGAAAAAGAACCGAAACTCTTCATTGTCTCTTTCAAAAAACTAGTTTCCTCTAAAATGCGTTCTTTGCACTGTCTCTTGTTGAATGCTAGAAGCCTGGTCAAAAAAATCCATCATTTACACTGCCTGATTGAATCCACGAAACCGGCAATCATTTTCGTCACCGAGACCTGGCTGAACAGCAATATTTCTGACGCTGAACTCTGTTCTGGTTTCCCATATACGATTGTGCGACAAGATAGGTCTGGCAGAGTGGGTGGTGGAGTATGCGTTTTTATGCACAATTCTCTTTTGTTTGAGAAGGTGATCTTTGATCACTGTTCGCTGAGCTCATCTTAGTTTATCGCCCTCCCCATTCATCCACGTCACAAGATGAAGAACATTCAAATCATACAAGATCTCGTGTCAACGACAACTTTCGAACTCGACTGTTCTTGGTGACCTGAACCTTAACATAAATTGGGAATCTCATGTGGCTTTGCAACCGGAGCGCAGAAATTTCTGACTTTTTTGATACCTTATTTCTGAGTCAATTTGTGACTTTCCCTACTAGAGAAAATAGCATCTTGATATCATACTATCGGATCAACAGAATATTTCCAATGTGTCCCCTCATGCTCCCTTGTCAAACTCGGATCACAATGTAATTTCGTTTCAATTGTCGGCTCCTATGCCCAGGAAGGAGGTGTTTTTCAGAAGAGATTTCAAAAACGCGGATAATGACAAAATTGTTCATGCTCTTACTAGTATCGACTGGTGGAGTGTCTTTGACTCTTATGTTGACATTGATGATGTTTATTCCCGGTTTATTGCCATCCTTCACGAAATCATCGATCGCCATGTACCCCTCGAACAGTTTGAGAGACACTCCTCTAGTAGGTATCCAAAACATGTTCTGAACCTTTTGAACAACGTGATAGGCTCTTTCATACACTTGTAGAGCCTTCTAAAAGCCCGTTGTTTAGAAAAGTAACAAAAGAACTGGAATTTCATATAAAGCGCTTCCTAACTTACAAGGTTAAGAAAATGGCAGCATGTAAACATATGAAAAGGCTTTATGAATACATAAATAAGGTGAAAAAATCGCCTAACTTGCACAAGGTCCTTGAGGACTCGGAAGGCATCAAGTATACCACAGATAGTGCCAAGGCAGAGGCGTTAGCGGATTACTTTGCAAGTGTATTTGAAAAGTCACCTTTATTTACACCCACTCTGCCAAGCCTCTCTTCAACCCACTTTGAACTACCAACTGTATCGTATCGAAAGGTGCTCAGATCTCTCCGCGCGCTGAAGCCGTCGTTGTCGCCAACAGCGGACGGGGTACCCCAATTCTTCTTCAAGCAATTTTCTGAGTATCTTGCAGTCCCTGTCACCCATGTTCTCAATATGTCCTTGATGCTGGGTCAAGTTCCTAAAATTTGGAAAACTCTTATGTCACACCCATACCTAAAACAGGGAACGCACGCCTCATTTCCAACTTCAGGCCGATAAGTATCTTACCCAGGCACGCCATCTTTGTGATCATCACAACGGGGGGGTCGTATTTGCCCGCGATGGAGGGGGGGGGTCGTAAACGCATGGCCCATGTTGAAGTGGAGAGAGCGGTGATACACGGTACAAGTGAAAAGAAGCTCAAAAGGGACGATGTAGATGACAATAAATAGAACTAGGCACTATCGAACTATTCCTAGGCCAAGAACTAAAAAAATATTGCTGAAACTTTTTCCTCCTTCCTCACAAAAAACTTCAAGACACTTCGCCCACCAACCCTCCTCATCTGGTCTAGATAAATCCCAATCCACTAATCCGCAAAATCTAGAAAAGAATCCATTGCAAAAGCTACCTATGAAACCGTAGAAATTGAATCCTGAGCAATTTCCTCACAACAAAATCAAACTCAACAAAACAAAATCAAACTCAACAAAAACAAACAATCAAAATAATTCACAATCAAATGGATAAGAAAAAAAACTCACCAGGCCAGCTGGGAACCGGAACTATGGATTACTTTTGAATTTTGGCTGTTCGCGGTCAGCGCGCTCATACAAGCTCATTGGTGCGCGCTATTTTACGGCCTGGAGCCAATTTCAAGCCAAACACGTGAAAAGTACCCCTCATTTGAACACCCATAACTTCGTTGAAAGTGAAGCTATCGGAAAGTTGTAATGGGAATGAG